GTTTAAAATTTTATAATTAGATATAAAAATAGATTTTCAGATAATTATAAGAATTTTTTACACCAAAATTATATGTTATGATAAAATTTGGAGGTGCGCCTTAATTGAATTGTTTAATGTTGCAACCTTATAGAAACCACACCTATTTATTTATACAGTTTTTTTACTCTCCATTTAAAATGAAATATCAATGAAATTGCAAAATCACCTAAAGCATTGATGGCAAAAATTCAATGGGGCACCCCTAAATAAAATATTGAAAAAATTATTTTCAATAAAATAAAATAACCAAAATACTCCTGAAACTTTTAAGGGTATTTTAGTCTTTTATTTTATTTTTATATTTTTTATAGGTGCGAATTTCGGAGAGGACTGGACGCCCAAATTTTGGTGTCGAAATGTTTCGTATAAAAAAATTAAAAATAAAATAGTATAAAGGGTGAAATTGAGATAGGGGCCATCTAAACCGTCCATTTAGAATGGATCGTGGGATAGGGGGAAGCATAGAAGTTTTATGGTGTAGGCAAAACATAGAATGCTTGGCCTCTAGTAATTTGATACAATAAAGTCACTTAAGGCAAATGACCTATGTGCGTTTGAGTTCCACACCTGGAGTACATAATTTTGTTATAAGATTACGTTTTGAGTTCCAGGCCATTAGCCTAATCAAGTCGCACATGCCAAAAAAAACGTAAATATTTTTGCTTAATTTGGGTGTCGAACTTTAGAAAAAGATCTTTTATTGAAAAGGATGTTTTGGGTTTGAACCAAAACAAACGTAAGTATATATGCCCAATTCGATCAATTAGCTTAAATGATCAAATCAATGGCATCACTTGGTCAAGATTTCAAACATTAAATGAGGGTAATTTGAGTACCCTTTAACAAAATAAGTAAAAATGTGTCGAAGTAAAATGATTTTAAAAACACCATTTTATGAGTACATTCGTTTTTTGAGGTGGTTTTATTATTTACTTTGTGTTGCCTTTTCACAACTAAATTTCAAGAAGAAGCAAGGATATATTCATCTTCCGAACTGGTACGCCCGACTTTTAAAGGGATTGTATACAATGAAACCATTTATCTTTTATACAAGGTGATCACAAATTTTTTTTTTGACAAATGTTCATTACTTTATTTAAAGAATCTACTCAAAAGAAATTACATCAGAGGAAATAGAAAGAGCAGACAAAGAAACCCCTCCTTTAGCCAAAGAGTCAACCAATGAATTCGCCTCATGATAGGCATGACAAAACGATAGAGAAATTGGAGCCACCAGGTTAATAATCTGCAACCAGGAGGACCTCAGCTCCCAAGGAATATGCTGCTCCTTCTTGCACTATTTAATAATATTCAAAGAGTCCCCTTTCAATAATGCAATTACCCTCCAGATTTCTAGATATAAAAATTTTTATTCCTTGCAACATCTCAATAACTCCGTTTGGTTAGCGGTGGCTATACCAATAGGGCATCATATGAGAAGATAACCTCTATAAAACAGTCACGCACCACTCCCCTAATACCAGCCGAACTTGGATTACCCAAAGAGCTCCCATCAAAATTTAACTTAAAACCCCCACACTCTGGTACCACCTAAATACTCATTGGTCTCATCTTAACTCTACCCAACAAAAACAAGTTTGGAAAATTCAATAGAACATTAGGTTGTGAAATCCTCAACCTTTCTTAGTAATCGAGAACCACGACCAAGTAGACAGTTTGACATTACTTAGCAATCTATCAAATGAGATACTATTACCTTCGAATGTCTGCATATTTCTTTCTTTCCAAAGTTCCCAAAGAGTATCCCCTCTTGCTATTTGCCAAACCAAAACCAATACCAAATTCTAGAAATAACGTGGTAGTGGATAAAAAGCTGATCACCAGATTCCTCATATGTTTTACACATAAAACAAATGCTACGTAAGATTTTACCCCTCTTAATCAAATTGTCCACCGTCAGAATTTTATTTTGGATAGCTAACCATAAAAGAACCTACACCTTATGGGGAATAGGCCATTTCCACACTTTGACACTAGCAGGTGAAGACCATCTCCAACGATTATGGAAAAAAAACCTATAACACGACTTGATCGAGAGAACCCCATCTCATTGAACTTCCTAAATCGCTTCATCCAACGCCCCCTGTGAAATATAAGTTGAGTCCAAAATACCCATCAAATCATTCCATTGAAGATAAACATCTTCACTCAACCTATCATTTGGAAAATTAATAATCCAAACATCACGATTACCTCTCACTGCAACCATATTAGAAATCTTAGCATTAGGTTGTGAGACCTTAGCAAAAAGTTTCGGATAAGTAAGCTTGAGAGGGGCATTACCTATCCACTTATGATGCTAGAACGAGAAGACAACTCTGTATTTCTATCCCCTCCTATCCACATACCCTGCCTATCTAGACCATATTTCGAAGACATAGCTTGATAACATAGCTGGTCTGTAAAATGCAACCTTCTCCACCACCACTTACAAGCAATGCCTCATTCATTTATTTAATCTTTCTGATGTCAAGACCACCTTCACTTTTAGGGATACAAATACGATCCCACCTTAGTAGATGATACTTCATTTCTTTTCCAAAAGACCCTCACAGAAAATTACGCTTCATTCTTTCAATTTTTTTAATCATTGATATTGACATCTGAGTAAGAGACATCAAACAGATTGGTAAATTAGCTAAACAAGAACTTAACAAAGTAATCCTCCCACCAGTAGACATGTATTTCGGCTTCTACCAATCCACCTTCACCTGGACTCTCTCTAGCACCTTATACTAAACTGCAATAGAATGCTTGGAATCAGATAGAGGCATTCCCAGATAAGTAAAAGGGAAAGAGCTCACTAAGCAACCCAACAATTTGCTAAAGATTGAATCATCGCCAAAATGCAATTAATTCCTATCAAAGAGGTCTTATGGAAGTTAACCTTCAAGCTCAAAGCCACCTCACAGCAGTGTAAAAAATGAGCAATGCTTATCACTTGCATCTCATCTGCTTCACAAAAAATAGGTGTATCATATGCATATTGCAAATGTGAATCTCTTGGACCCATTGCAGCCACCTTAAAACTAGAGAAATGCCTAGAACCTTCTACATTACGAATCATTAGACTAAAGCATTCTGCATAGATGGAAAAGAAAAAAATGGTGACATAGGGTCCCCTTGGTGAAGACCCCTGGAAGCCTTAAAAAAACCAATAAGACCTCCCTTAACAAGCACTGAGAAATGGGCAGAGGATAAACATCAAAAAATCCAACTTATCTATTTAGTCCCAGAACCCATATTTTTAAGGATTTCCACAAGTACCCCCCATTCAACTCTATCATATGCTTTCTTCAAATATAATTTAATAGTGAATCCAAGAGCTTGACTTTTTACTTTATAATGAATACACTCTTGAGCCACCAAGATACTATCAGTGATTTAATGATTCTGAATGAATGCAGATTGCGTGTTAGATAAGAGAAAATGTAATACATATTTCAATCTATCAGTCAAGACCTTAGCCACAATCTTATAAGGACTGGTTATAAGACTTATAAGCCTAATATCTGAAAGCTTTCAATCATTGATTTTTTAGGGATGAGAGCAATATAAGTAGTGTTAACCCCTTTGAAAACCTCACCCCTGGTCATAAAAGCTCTAACCGACTTGATCATTCCTTACAACTATTTGATGTGAATTTTGATAGCTTGGATGTGTCATAAAGTTCGAGAAAATTTATTTTGAAATTTGAGCTTGGTCAATGGAATTATTGCAGCCACTCAACTTTACATCTACTGGTCAAGATTATTGTGACCACCTTGTATAAAATGTAAATGGTCTCATTTTATACTTTCCCACTTTTAAAACATTACGTCTTTTATGTTTAAGATCACACTTTTGAAAATGGGTTGTCAGCCTCGGTGGTAGTACTAGTACCACTTAATAGAGACAAACTCTATTCTTACATAAAGAGAGTGGTGTAGTATCAGTGTTATTAGATTTGCTTTGCTTAGGCCGAAGAAGTCGAAGCCTTCGGATTTTAGGCATAAATCGAAGCAAAGCGAAGCCTGGTGTTGTTGTTTCGGTTAAGACTAGGTTTGCTTCAGTCAGATTCGGATCAGCTTTGGGTATATACCTGAATTGTTTATCTTTTATACATGGATGTCACAATCATTTCTATTCCCTAAATTTCAAAAAAAAAAAGTTTATATAAAGACGAGACTCTAAACAATCAAATTAAAGTGCACCTCAATAATTCACTAGAAGGGGTTATTTCAATGCCCAAAACTTCTCATATTGATCATCTTGACCTCAAGATATATGGATATAAAAAAAAAAAGATTTCTGGTCTTGAAAATAGTACATCTTGTAACGTATTTTTAGACCGTCAATTTTCAAGTATTCATAGATACACTCAATTTACACTATTTTTTAAATTTCGAATTTTATAATTAGTGATGAAAATAGATTTTCATGTAATCACAAAAATGTCTAATATTGAAACGACATCTTCCCACACATTTAAAATATACAACTTACTTTGATGATTTAGAGCATCGGAACGAACCAACCACACCCATTACAAACTAAGTGGTTATAAAAGTTTCACTCCAAAAATAATAATAATAATAATAATGGTCTTGAACTTTGTGACTCACCTGGGCCATCCAAGTGCACTAATGGTCTCTTTGGAACTGATCCCCAAAAACCAAAAAACGAAAAAAAAAACCTTGCCAATAAATAAAAGCCAAGGACGTGATAGAAATTAGCAGATTTCAGAAGGTAGTACACGGTCAATAAAAACTGCTCAATGCAATTTACAAGCAACTTAAACCCCAAGGGGGCCACTTTTCCCCCATTTTTTTCATGCTCCGTACCTCACCGACCAGTCTGAATCTACCAGTCCGAGAAAGGCGGCTATTAACCAATTGAAATGCACCCCCACCATTTGTTAGGTCGACGGATGGAGAGAGAAAGAGAGAATATGGTTAGGTCGATGAATAGAGAGGGAAAGAGGAGCGAAAATATGCGTAGGTCGATGAATAGAGAGAGAAAGAGGAGAGAGAATATGAGAGGGAGAGGGAGAGGGAGAGAGTAAGAGGGGCAGGCCCCCGCCACCCTATTTAGTTCCAACCATCCCACACTCGAGGAGAAGCGGAACAAGGCAGGGATCATCACCTCGAGAGACACAGAGAGAGTTTAGAGAGTATAAAACATATGTCAATGGCGTGTGTATCGGAGGCCACCCCATTGAGCCTGCCCGCCTCGGCCGGCATGAAGCCTCGGTGCCGCGCCGATGGCGCCAAAAGCGGTAACGGTGGTAGTCGGGTGCTCATAATCGGGGCCACCGGCTACATTGGCCGCTTTGTCGCGGAGGCAAGTGTGATGTCTGGAAAGCCAACTTTTATCTTGCTGCGACATGGTCCCGCGGCTTGCCCTGCTAAGGCACAGACGGTCCGAGCACTCGAAGATGCTGGTGCCACTATTGTTCATGTCAGCAGCTACTCTTTCACTTTCTTCACAAATTTTTCAGACACACCCACGTTAAAACTAAGAAAACTAAAATAGTAAACAAAAAAGTGTTCTCTCTCTCTCTCTCTCTCTCTAAAACTTAGAAGAGGTCCGAGAATGGTTTGGGTGTAGTGTGATATGGTTTGTTGGTGGTGCATGCAGGGGTCGATGCAGGACAGGGAGCTGATGGAAAGGATACTGGCGGAGCTGAAGATCGACGTCGTCATCTCCACCGTAGCAGGGGCGGGAAGCATATTGGACCAGCTCCACCTGATCGATGCCATCAGGGCCGTTGGCACTGTTAAGGTCAGCCATTGGTAGCCTCTCTCTTTTTTTCTTTCTTTTTTTCCTTTTTTCTTTTTTCAGGTTTGAATGTTAAATGATGGAGAGCCTAAGGAAGATTTTGAATGAAAACAGAGTAGACCAGGGGACGCTATAGTTAGACTTTAAAAAAAGTGAATGATCCTTCTGTGGAGAGAGACATCTTTTGTATTTGTTTATAGAGAGAGTATTTGTTTATGGAGAGACAGTATTTAAGTTGAAATTAAAGGGCAATATGGAGAGAGGGAACGTGGAAAAAGTGATCACAGTTTTAGTATTGCCTGTATAGAAACCTTTGCCTTATATGAGAGTGGGGAGGATGTGTTAATTTAAAAAAGAGCTTGGGGAGCATAGTTTATTTCTACTCTCTCTCCATCAAACTACCTATGGGAGGATTTTTTCAATCTTTGGGAACCATTTAAGAATTCCTGCATGATTATAACGAACAGAAAAAAAATAAAAAAAAATATTACATAACTATTCTTTACAAAATAAATGTGAAATTTGAGTTTTCTAAAACTTCGAGCTCGCTATCTAAAAATTAGATGGTCTCCATTTCATTTTGAGACTTTATTTTTTTCAAGCAAAAATCATTAATTTTTATTTTTATTGAGATTAATGTATGGGTCAAAGAATAGCCCCACTAAAATAAGGTTGAGGTCGTAGTGGCAGCGCCATCTAAGCCTCCTCAACTATCGGTCTATGTTTCTATTCCCACTTAAGCATTAAAAAACTACCGACTATTTCTAAAAAAGGTGCAGTTGGCATACAGATGCATCGGTAGCTGTAGAGGTAAGGTGCACCTTTAAATTTTATCATGGTATATAATTTTGATGTAAATTGTTCTTAGGATTATCTACAAAATCTAT